GCGGCATTTAAGCTATCTTCTGGAGAGGGCTCTTGATCGCGCCTTTGGCTTGTTCAGGAGTATGAGAGTCCCTTAATCTTTGCATATTCTCATCATTTGATGCTCGCTTGGTTACCGTTTCATTTGGGTTTTCATTTGCACGAGACTTTCTTTTTCTACCTGCAACCTTGGCTTTTTTTATTGCAATCTGGTTCTCTGTTAGTGGAGACTTGTTTTTTTTTTTTTTTTTTTTTTGTTTTTTTTTTCTTATTGCTACCGTATACGATAGGCAACAATAAACTACAGAAAAACTCAAAATTGATCGCTGGATGTAAGTCTTTCATTAATATATAAGCTTACCTTTTAAAAGTTCAAAAATTCTCTAAGAGTAAAGTTGAAAAAGTCTGACACACTGACATTCTCTTTTATTTATATAGATGTAATCACTATCATAGTTCAGAATCAATAATTCCTGATTTTCCTTTTTTTTCCGCAAATCCTCTAACAATAAATGTCCTATTGGAAAAATCTTTATTGGAAGCATTTACAAAGTTTTAAATAAGAATTTATCAACTTTTCACCGGAGACATCATAAACTTTCCCGCCAAAATAAATGCAAACGTCGGTTAGAATTATATACTGAGGTGAGGACGTTGAATAGTGGGGACGCTAAATTTAAATTTTTAAAAATTCTAACGTCCGACGAGTCAATAGGCAACAGCCGACTTCATTTCCCCAACGCTTTTGCTTTTGCTGCTATCGTTGTTGTTTTATAAATATCTCAACAGAAGACTTGTGAAGAAAGGTGAAATATCGTAAGAACCTGGGTACAAATTTATCGTAGAAAACTCGGACATCGGCACACTTTCTCTTTTAATTAAATCGGCATAGTTTAAATTGAGGTGTGCAATAGGCGGATAGCGGGCCACAATGGTATTGAAAATGATCGTAAGGGCGGCAGTAGTGACCATGCAGTGCGGTGGGGCGGGGAAGCGATGTTAAGCACTATGTCTCGAGTTCGTGTCTTTTGTGAACACCTTTCATCGTCGCTGTCTTTCTTGACCTATAACGTGTAAAAATAAATGGCGGTAATACGAAATGTATTACCGCCATTATTAAAAATTGCTTGAATGACTTTGATTTCTTCACAACACCTATCCAATTTAGTTGTAAAACTACAAGATGAAGGTCACTTGGTGAACTAGTTGTATGGACATATTTGTTCAATTGAAAAGAAATGGGTTGTTTTTCAATTACCATTGAATCAAGCAACATGTTCTTCCCATTTTCCCTGTTTGAAAAGCAAAGCTGTCATCCCCGAGCTCACTTAGACAAAATATATTGCAAGTATTCAAATACTAAGGAAAGAATTCTCCAACAATATGAAAAGGAGCTAAAACAGTTTGCTCAACCATTTGAAACGACAGCTGAAGACAGCGCTGATTGCTATCAAATGGGGCTTATTGATTTACAGTCTGATATGGACTTGGGAAGAGCATACAGGGAGAATGATTTGATGTTATTTTACTTAAAGTATGTGTGTGGAAAATATACAAATTTTTCGCAAGATGCCATTAAAATGATCTCTCTTTTTGGAAGCACAGAGTTTCTGGGAAAAAATTTTTTTTTTTCTCCAAGGACGAAGCTTGCAAAAGCCAAATGGCGACGTCAACTTGGCGAGTTAGCATGGGTCTAGGCCTGGGACTGAGTGAGCTATATAACACCAGCTTTTTCTCAATCAAGAGGAACATTCTCGACGATGCGGACGTGCCGAAAGCCAGACAAAATGAGCACAGATCACGTGACTGACCATGGGCGTTGCATACTAATTGGAGGAAGTAACAATAGATTGATGAACTCTTTTAATATTTGGAATAACTTATGAAGTTATAGCATCGAGACTGAAAGGTGAATATTGAACAAGGTGTTGTTTTAATGTCTTTAATCGGAATCGTCCCAAGCAAGGCAATAAAGCCACTAAGACACAAGGGGGTTACACAGTGTGGAAGAATTAGGAACAGAAACAATAATGATGAGTGAAAGAGAAGAGAGTAACCAGGAGGACAGTAGATATTATTTGACACTGGATTTAAATTTTTGTAGATTAAAGTTGGCTGGAAAGCATGGAGCCGGAAGAGAGTTCCACAAACGAGAAGTTCGAGAAAAGAAACTGTTAGCATAGAACTTACGGTTATATTTACCCAGTTCAACTTTAAATTGATGAAATCTCGACGGCAGTCTATTGCTGCACTTAAATTCAAAACCTCTACATACCATGACGAAGAGCTTCAGATGCACTCAGGTCACTCATACTTGTGAAAATATCAACCAAATAGGCTAGAATTTGGTTAAATTCTTGTGATTTCATTTCTCCGGGAAGATCATAGTCACGTTCCTTCAGAACAGCCTTGACTTCTCGTAGTTCGTAGAAGCGCGTTGAAAGTTCTCCCAAGTGACAGGTAACTGACTTTCTTGTGGAAAAATAAAACTGAATGCTCACTTCCAAAATCTTCACAAAACGACTTGAAGAGGCGGTCTTTTAGAGCACGACATCTAATGTAGTTGATCGTCTTCACAGAAGTGCCAAGGACCTTTTTCAACTTTAGAGACGACATTTTTTATGCCAAATCATGTCGATAAACAGAACAGTCGGTACATTGCAAGTACGGAAGCTCTTGTTTCATCTGTTGAAAAAAATCTTCAAATTTATTTCCTAGCATAGCAAGGGACTTCGTCAGTACACACAGAACCAATAAATTGGATATCTAAGTTATATATAACAAAAAAACTCCTTCATACACCGGAAGACATCTTTTCCTTTTGTGGTTGTTTTCAGGTCTTCACAAAACAGGAGTTCTTCCATTATGACACCATTTGATGAGTTGACTGCAATTTGTAACATCAGTTGTTTCGTCTAGCCAAATGTCAGATCTGTCCATTCGACCAAATGTCTTTCGGCCAAATGTCCTTTCAGCAAAGTATCCGTCGAACAAATGACCATCGGACAAATGTCCGCGCGGACAAGTGTCTGTCGGCCAAATGTCCGTTCGGCCAAATGTCTTTCAGCCAAATGTTACTTCGGCCAAGTGTCCGTTCGGCCAAATGTCTGTCAGCCAAATGTCCATCGGCCAAATGTCCGTTCGACCAAATGTCCATCGGCCAAATATCCGTTCGGCCAAATGTCCTTCGGTCAAATATCTGTCGGCCAAACGTCCTTTCAGCAAAATATCTGTCGAACAAATGTCCGCTCGGCGAAATATCTGTCGGCCAAATGTCCGTTTGGCCAAAGGTATGTCAGCGAAATGTCACTTCGGCCAAATGTCCGTTCGGTTAAGTGTCCGTTCGGCCAGATGTCTGTCGGCCAAATGTCCGTTCGACCAAATGTCCATCGGCCAAATATCTTTCGACAAAATGTCCGTTCGCTTACAAGGTGGATGTAATCACCCACAAGATCTCGATCTTTTTTTTTCTCTTCTTTGTCTGCACAGTTCACAGAGTATAACTCATTTTTGACTGTGATTTATATTTATTTGGACCAACCCTCGGCATTCACTACTACTGAAACACAAACATACGAAGCCCAATATTCGGGGTGCGATGGATAAATTATGCTGCCATAATCCTTGTTCCCAGTTCATCTTTTATGTTACAAAGTAAAAAAATTAATAAACAATTAAAAAAAATTAAATATCTAGGAAGTGTTTTAACAGCGGACGGAAAGTGCGACACTGAAATCTGGATGCGCATTGGAATAGCCAAAGATGCCTCCCAGAAGCTAAGCAAAGTACTAAAAAATAGAAAAGCTTCACTAGAAACAAAGAAAAGGATACTAAACTGTTATGTGATATCTGTCCTTCAGTGAGTCATGGACAATCTCTTCAAAGATGAAGAAGAGACTTGAAGCAACAGAAATGTGGTTACACAGAAGCATGCTAAGAATACCATAGACTATGAGCAACGACGAAATGGGAAAAAAAAAGAAACTTATACTTAACATCAGGAAGACACAGTTAAAATTTCTGGGGAATATAATGAGAAAAAGGGCTTGGAAAATCCGACACTGACAGGACAGAGTGTCAGAGGAAAACAACGCATAACATACTTAGTGATCTTGAGTAAATTGATGGAACAGGGTTTAAGAGAAGTACCAGAAAGACAATATTTATTAAGAGCTATAAAGGACGGGAAGTTGTAGAGAGCTATGATCATCTACGTCATTAGGAGACACGGCACATAACGAAGTAGGTCTGAAGATGAAAAACGTACCCAACATGCTGCATGTCGAATAATTTCACATTCTAGATGCATGACTATTTGATGCGTTGCATTGGCAATATCAGGACCGGCCTATTGATTCCTTGTTCAGAAAAAATTTCTTTTCTATCCGAATGCGTTATTTAAGAAAATTGATTGATTCGCCTCAGAATCTTTTACAAGTTCCCATGTTGTCTGTTCTGTAATATCGGTCAAAGAATCCGCCAATCCATCAATTTTCGACACCTGAGTCTCCTGAGAGCGTTCTGTATTTCTGCACTCAAAATCCTCTTCAATAACTATTCCCGACATATTCGAGTATCTGCTGCATCGTTACCATAATCTTTAGTGACCAATTACCTTGATTCCGCTGGGCTTTTCCCCAGATTAGAAAATAACAATAAACTGTGTCGAATGTTCTTTTATATTCAGATATGATTTTTAACCAATTAAGACTTTAATCGCTTTTCAAACAATTCTGAAAGCGCGTTGCACACACAGATGAAGCGAAAATAAGACTGATTTTTTTTTTTTTACATCAGCATAATTCCTTTCTCTTCCCTCTCACCTCTCTCACTCTCTCTCTCTCTTTCCCATGATTTCTCGAGATCTCTCCCTCTTTTACTTTTAATCTAGTTCCATCTTCTCTCTCTTTCGCTCTTTCACTCTCTCTCTCTCTCTCTCTCTCTCTCTCTATTCTTCTCTCTTTCTTAATCATGCAGTCTTTCTATCTAACTATCTCCCTCTTTATATCGCTATTCCTTTAGGCTTTAAACACCGGTTCTCGTACGGTCACTGAAGTTAAGCAACGTCGAGTCTGGTGAGTACCTAAATGGGTGGCCGCTTGCGAATACTGGGTACTGTAAGCTTGCGGGTGTAATGAATAACGGTTCGAAATTGATAATGGGAGAGCCGAGTTCTAATTCCAGTCGGGTTTGTTATATTTACTACGTGCAAATACCCTTGGGAAAGGTATGAATCCACATCTTCCCCCCAACTATGGGTTAATTAGTAGAACTTTTATTAGTAAATCATTATTATCTCAAAAACTTCTTACAATCTAAAAATATTTTCTGGCTTTAAATAACCTACGAAAGGTTGATAAGTCGTAAAAAACAAATCAATCTATTCCGTGATATTTCTCTCTCTTTTTCTTTCTCGTTTCCCCTTCTCCTTCTCTCTCACGCCTACCCTTTCCCCACTTTCACTCGCTTAATCACTTTCTCTGTCTTTTCCTTTCTCTTTTTCTTTCCCGCTATCTTTCTCTTTTTCCCTCACGCACTCCTCTCATTCTCTCTCTGTCTTCCTAACATTTCTATCATTCTCTGTATTTCTTCTCTCTCACTATTTCTGTCTCTCTTTCACTCTCTCATTTTATCCCTCGCTTTTTTTTTCTATCTCTTCTCAGTTTCTCTTACCCCCTCCCTCTTTTTCTGTAAATGCCTCCACACCAAAAAGAGAGTTTGATAAATTTAACCAAAACTCGTTATTTTGAATCAATATAGTCATCCCCTCACCTAGCAACTGTCAAATTTTCTCCCCATTCGATTGTCTCCCTTTTCTTCGCTCTTCATTATTTCATCGTTTGGTCGAGAGAGGAAGAAAGATAATCAGTAAAAAACGCAAATATTTGTTTGTTAATCTTTTGCCAATAAAGTTAGGAATGTGCATTCGTCAACTCAGGCGAGGCTAATCTCTATTCCTTTTCTGCGTGTGGGCGCCAGTCGGGTGTGATGCATATTTGGCAAAATGAAAGACGAAGAGGAAGATGGCGTGGAGTTGGTGTAGAGGACAGGCGCGAAAGTGTGTCAATCCTGGCGGGCGAGATGGGGAATCACCAATGATGGAAAGGAGAACCCCCAAAAAATTGTTTGAAGGCTTTCCCTTTATTTTGAATGTGTGTGTGTTAGAGAGAAATGATTCAAACAAATTTTTCACCAATTTCTTACAATAAAAGACCATCAAAATAGTTTTAGATTGCTACATATGTCCAATTAGAACGGCTAAAAATCAGTTTTATTGTTTTAAGGATTGCATTTCGAATGATAACTTTGCCATATTTCCTGTTGTCTGAAATGATGAAGTAAAGTATTTTCATTCTATGAAATACAGGGTAGGAAAAAGCGTTTTTTTTTATCATCAAACGCCATAAGGAGTTTTTAGGTTAAGCTAATTTCATTTAATTTTTTTTTCTGTAATAGCTGTCATATCATCAAGAAATTTTAGAAAATAATATGTCATAACTGGCAAATATTATATATTGATTATGAAGCAGAACTTAAAAAAAGAAATGAGTGACAGGCACATATACAAGGATGCTATTTTAATCATTTCACTCCCACACAAGGCAATAAAGTCACTAAGACGTAAGCGGTTACTGGGTGTTAGAGAAAATGAGAAGAATATACTTTTAAAGAGAGAGAACAATAAAAGAACAAGAATTAAGAAGAGAGAAGATAACGATTGACATTGCATTTGAATATTTGAAGATCAAAGGAAATAAAGCCACTAGGATGCAAGGGGCTTCTTGATTGTGAGAGAATATGAACAAAACAACTATTAAGGAAAGAGTAAATAAAAGAACAAGTATTAAGAAGACAGAATATAACGATTGACATTGCATTAAAATTTAGGAAGATCAAAGGCAATAAAGACACTAAGACGCGAGGGGTTACTGAGTGTTAGAGAATATGTGAAAAAATATACTATTAAAGAGAGAGGACAATAAAAGAGCAAGGATTAAGAAGATAAAAGACACGATTGACATTTCGTTTACATTTTTGAAGATCAAAGTTAATTGAAAAGCAAGAAGCTGGAAAAGAGTTCCACAAGTGAGAAGTGCGAGAGAAGAAACTGTTAGCATAGAATTTACGGTTACATCTAGCCATTTCAACTGTTTAATGATGAGACATTTTCGAGAGTCTAGGTGCCATAAACGAAAGTTCATCAGAATAATTACCATGAAAGTATTTATTTAAAAGACAGATGTTGCTAGGTTACGGCGCTGAAATCTGGCAGAAATCTGGCAGAAATCGAGATGACAGGTTAGGACCAATAATATTACAGATTCTTCTTTGGATTTTATACGTAGTAGAAGCGCCAAACCAGATGTGGCAGCAATATTCAAAGCAAGGAAGAATGGTAGACTTAAAAATGAAAGCGTATTATGATCTTGGTTCGTTAACACTTTTCTAATTTGCTACCGACTGTGCTAAACGAAGCCATTTTTCATTTTTCCCGCGACGACTTTACACCCTTACCTAAAGTTTTCTCTCTGTTGGTAATCCAAAGACCGTACGAATATAACATGCAATTATGTAATTTGTGCGTATTCTGGAAATGAATATATCATCGCAAAACAAAACAAAGAACGTCACTTGATTTCTTTATTCAAAATTCGGACAGAACTTATGGGATGACCTCATATATATAGTCATTTAACGAAATGTAATCTTAGTCCGCTTCAAAGTACACTCCTTGAGACATCACCTTAACTTTTCAGGACATCCAGAAAAGTTCTATTTCAAGATTGCCATCGTTGCCCACTATGTTCTCCTTAATCTCACCCACGGTTTGAAACCTCTTCCCTTTCGAGAGTGATTTTAACTTTAAGCCAGTAATCGCAACGAGCTAAATCTTAACTGCGTTCACGCTTACCTTCAGTATGTCCTGTGAGTGTCATTTTCTTCAAGCCCTCATTACGTACCCTAGAAATGCAATTGACTCTTTCTGATTCTGAATATAAGTGTCCTTTTTGTTTCAATTTTTCTTCAGACTTCTTCGTTGTTTATGCGCTCCGTCCATGATATTCTCAGTATCCTCCTGTAGAACCATATTTCTGTTACTTACACTTTCCTCCGCACCTGCGAGAAAATTACCCAGTATTCACTGGTTTCTATAGCATATCAGTTTAGCACTCATTTATTTGTTTCTAGCGAAATCTTCCTGTTTCATTGTTTAGCTTTTGGAAGGTATCTTTCGCTATTCCAACGCGACTTTGGATTTCGGTGTCACACTTTCTGTCATCTGTTAAAACACTGGAGAAGGCGTACCCAGCGTGCGGCACCTTTGGAAAGTGCCTGAAAACCATACCACGGCTAAATCTTTTGAGTGAAAATGGGTTGACGGATTCCTTGAGAATGATGGGTACGCTAGAACGTCACAGTTCATCGTGATCGACGGTGTGAACGTATTAGCGTCCAAACTGATGATCACGCTAGATAACGCGCCCTCTCCCAGAAACTCTAACTAGGGTCCGTTCAGCGGGGTTGCAGTAAATCCACAGGCTGGCTTTGTAGGTGTTGAAAAAACACAGATGTGCCTGAGTAAACTAGCATCTTCGGGTTCAAGTGTCTGCACCATTATTATTATCCCGATAGGAGGGGAAGATAACGGTTAACTCTAGACTTAAACTTAACTCTTGAGATTGTACACCCTTATACAAATTAATTTAAACAAAACAAATAATTCCTTATTATTAAATTTATTTCGTATTTTTCCAATGAAACATGACCGAGTGCACATGTTAGTACTTCATATGTCCATTCCATGAAGTCGTTCCTTGCAGATTGACCACAGATTCTCGATTGCATTTAGATCAGGAGAGTTTCCGGGCCAGTCTATAGTGTTTTGATTTGCTCAAAGCTTGCCAGTGTGTTCGTTCAGTGTTACAATTTTTGTATGCTTCCTTGGAGCAACGTCCGTAGGAAAACTAATCCACAGTAGAGACAACACTGTCTGGGCGTGATAAAGATCTGTGGCAATTACAGATGACGCAATATTTTTCACGGCCAAACAAATTTCATCATGCACCCCGAAAATAGATTCATATGACTGCACAGCACTGAAATTGAGCTAATCTGAGGAAAAATTTAAAATCGCTTACACCCTATCATTCCGGTGGGTCTAAAACTGACCGAATGGTGAAAGAAAAGAAACTAAAGTGGTTGTTTCAATTAATTTGCACAAGGTTGTAGTGTTTGGGGAAATATCATCTTGAGAGTCGGTTCCATAGGGTAGTGATTGCCGGGAAGAATCTGTTCAAGTGAAACTTGCTTCTCACCGATGGGGATACAGAGGGAATATGGGTGCTTCTCGCACAATGATTTATCTCTTTTCAAATCGGGGACAATAGATGGGTGTCGAGCTCAAGTAAAAGAATTTTGATGGTAGATTCCTTTTAAAGAACGCCATAAAGGAATGCTTTTCTACTTGGTGTCAACCTAATCTAATTTTCGAGTAAAGTAGGTAGGCGGGCCCTCTTCAATCAGGGGATTAGCGCAACATAATCTTCACCTTTTTTTTTTTTTCGTTTGGGCTTCTTCTAAAAAAAAAATCTTAAACTATGTAACTATCTATATAGATCTACTTCTTTAATGTTTCTTGATTCTTCAGGACGGGCAATCACAGATCTCCACAACTTCCCATTCTACGTAGCTATGTTTGTTCTCTTTACAAAGACTTTTCGGGTAGATTACGCGAGGTTTCCTTCTTTTTCTTTTTTGCCTGCAATATGCCCTGTGAATTTAAAGTCTCCAAGCCTTCTTTCCATATTATGTGTTCCAAATATTTCAGCTGTGTCTGATTCTAAATAAAAGGGCCTTTGTTTTTCGTCATTACTATATAGTTCTCAGTATCTATATGGATCATGACAGTTAAAATGGAGAGGGATCACTGTCTGGTTTCATTTCATTACATCATTAAGCATATGGCACTTTATTTGATGTATGACATGAAAGACTTCTCATATAAGGCCAGGTCACCTTGTGCCCAAATTTGCTTAACAGCTGTCTCGTTTTATAAGTAAAAACCTTCTGTTTTTCATGTCATGTTGCCCTAATCATTTACTTATCGTACCAAACCTAAGA